CACAGCAATGACCTTGCTCCTTCCTCTTCCCCAAATACATGGATGTCAGTGACTCACACCATCCCCGCACCCGCCCCTTTCTTCAGAAGCATTCTGGCAGGAAGAGTGGCTGATGCAGTGCTACCGGTATTGAGGAGGGAGGAGGGTTTGGAGGAAGCTGGGGGAGAAGGCGTCTCAATTTCGTGACCTGAGCTGCCACTTTGTGAATGAGCCAACTTAATCCTGTGAGCCATGTGTGTGTTGGGGGAGGGGGAGTGCTGGTTCTGCACAGCTCCAAACCTCGGCCTTTCCCTGACGCACCGATTTACGGCTTAAGGGAGTGGTTCTCCAACTGTGGTCCCTGGACCACGAGTGGTCCATAAGAATTCAGGCTGTCTACAGATAGTTCCCTCTAAGGCATGTACCTGGGTGGTGGCACATGAGAAAACGAAGGGCTGCCCACCTAATTAGTAGCTGGCAGATGTGGCTCCACTAATCAGGTACCTGGACCCTCATATGCCAAGTGAGATGACGGCCTTAGGGGGAGTAAGTGGGAGGCGGAAGTGGGGTGAGAAGGTGGAAATAGGAGGCAGGTGGGGAGGCATTGGGGTGAAACCAGTGTTCCCATAGCACAAGGACTAGGGGCCACCAAACGAAATGAATAGGCAGCAGGTTTCAAACAAACAAAAGGAAGGTTTTCTGTTAACAGTCAACCTGTGGAACTCCTTGCCAGAGGAAGTTGTGAAAACCAGGGCTTTAACAGGGTTCAAAAAGAACTAGATAATTTCATGGGGGTTAGGCCTATCAATTCTTATTAGCCAGGATGGGTAAGAATGGTGTCCCTAGCCTCTGTTTGTCAGAGGCTGGAAATGGGTGACAGGAAAGGGATCACTTGATGATTCCCTGTTCTGTTCACTCCCACTGGGGCATCTGGCATTGGCCACTGTTGGAAGAGGATACTGAACTAGATGGACCTTGGGTCTGACCCAGTCTGGCCATTCGTAGGTTTTTATGAGAAGAGACGGGTGGAGGAATTTGAAAGTGCAGGGCTGCGGTGGCCAGAGAAAGAGGTGACTTTCTCCAGCTGTGGTGGTGGGCAGACCCTACTGATAGTAAAATATGAGTTGCAGAACAAAAAAAGCGTGAAGTCCTAGCACAGTTTTTCCACGTAGCGCTTCCGTACAAGCACTTTCCGATCATTAGCTAATGAGCAAACGGCATTTGGAAAGCTCATTAAGTGTTCCTCAGCAATTTTCCAGTGATTTGTTAAAAAAAAAAAAAAAAAAGTTTGAGAACCCCTGCCTTCAGGCCTTCTTGGAAATCAATACATCACCCGTCAACCCAAACGCAAACAACAGATTATTCCTGTTAAGGGAGCTGGTCTGCCGCTGTCCCTGGATTGTCTGCAAATCGCTCTGTCCGGTGCTGACTCAGCACAGCCCCTTCCAGTCACCCTGACCTCTCCCCCGGGGCAGGAAAGAACGGGTCCCTACCGAGGAGAGGAACTTCAGCTGTAAACAACTTCCTTAACAAAGCACCAACTAGGTGGAGGGGGGGGAGGATTAACTCCATCATTACCGAAAACGTTCTTCAGGAAAGTAGGGCCATATCCAGAGCTGCTGGGGTAACGTCGAGAGGCGGAATTGAACCGGTGACCTCCGGAGCTTAGTGCATGCAGTAAAAACCAGACTCATTCTTTGCTCTGTAAGGGGTCTCCGCGTCACTAGATGGAACAGTGACCCACACTGCTCAGGTGTGTGGGTGTGACGTAGTGGGGGTACCTGGCTGGTTTCTATGCTGCGGGCTCTGGGGTAACCCCCACTGGCTGCCGTGGGTACCACGACCCAGCAAAACAGGATGAGTCACTATGCAAACCAGTATGGCCAGACACCCCCCATGGAGAGGAACAAAGGAAGGGGGAATGCTGCCCTGGCTGGGGGCAGGGCTGGAAGAGTGTTGGTTAGTTGCTGTCTGGGAGCATGGAGGAGACAGCCTAGGGAAAGGGGCTGGAGTTTAGGGGCCCAGTCTCCCCCCATCTCAAGGGGGCCTGAGGCATCCTAGCCCAGCTCTGTGACCAGATTCCATCTGTGCTGTGCTGTATCTTGGAGAGGCAATAAACTTCCTCTATTCCGCCGGCTGGTGCAGTCTATTTGTGCCATTTCGGGGTGCAGGAGACGGGGGAGTCATTGTGTCCAGCCCCCTGTCCAAAGCAGGACCAACCCCAACGCAATCATCCCAGCCAGGGCTTGGTCAAGCCGGGACTTCAACACCTCTAGGGATAGAGATTCCACCCCCTCCCTGGGGAACCCATCCCAGATCTTGCCAGGTGAGAAGGTCACAGAGCTCCTGTTGCAGCCCCATCCTCATGTCTTTTGCCTACACTGCAAGGAACCGGCCCTTCGCCTGGCCCTGCCCAGACGCTGGGCTGTAAGTGCAGCCCAGACAAACCCAGAGCATCACAGCCAAATGCAAATGGACAGGTGCTTTAGCATCCCTGGTTAACACATTTCCAGAGGCCGTTCACAGTGAAGTGGCCCATTATCACCATCCGAGGGAGAAGGGAGCAAAAGGGATGGGGGGAAGGGCTCTTCATGGGCTATTCGGGGTTGTACTAAGCCATACATCAGTGTGTCTGTTCAATCCATGCTTTAGTGTCTTGCAGAGTTAGGAATTTAAGCTCCCATCTTCGGAAGGGGTTGTGCCGTGTTCCTTGGAAATTGAGAACGGAGAAGTCCTTGCTTCCTTGCTAGGTCCGTGTTAGATCCTGCCGGAGGGCAGGGAACTGGCTTTGATGTCCTCAAAAGGTCCTTTCGAGTTCTAGTGTTCTATGATTCTAAGTTGGTGTTCTATGATTCTAAGTCGGTGTTCTATGATTCTAAGTCGGTGTTCTATGATTCTAAGTCGGTGTTCTATGATTCTAAGTCGGTGTTCTATGATTCTAAGTCGGTGTTCTATGATTCTAAGTCGGTGTTCTATGATTCTAAGTCGGTGTTCTATGATTCTAAGGCGTGATTGCTATGCGAAGTCTGGTCGGGTACTTGGTCTTCTTTGTCTCTGAGTTCCAACAATAGCAGATAGTGTTTGGTTGCACCCAGGAGTTCGTTTTGGGTATCTAGAGCACTGGATCGATCCAAATTGGCATTGGAAAAGGTTCAGAAAAGGGCAACAAAAATGATCAGGGGTTTGGAACGGGTCCCATATGAAGAGAGATTTAAAAGACTGGGACTTTTCAGCGTAGAAAAGAGGAGACTAAGGGGAGATATGAGAGAGGTCTATAAAATCATGCCTGGTGTGAAAAAAGTGAATAAGGAAAAGTGATTTGCTTATTCCCACAAGATAAGAACTAGGGTCACCAAATGAAATGAAATAGGCAGCAGGTTTAAAACAAACAAAAGGAAGTTTTTCTTCACTCAGCACACTGTCAACCTGTGGAACTCCTTGCCAGAGGATGCGATGAAGGCTAGAACTTTAACAGGGCTCAAAAGATCTAGAAAGATTCATGGAGGTTAGGTCCATCAATGGCTATTGGCCAGGATGGGTAGGAATGGTGACCCTCGCCTCTGTTTGTCTGGAGGTAGATGACTGGTGATGGATCACGCGAGGATTACCTGTTGTGTTCCCTCCCTCTGGGGCATCTGGTATTGTCCCCTGCCGTCAGACAGGACACTGGGCTAGATGGACTGTTGGTCAGACTCAGTCTGGCCATTCTTATGTTCAAATTTCACTGAGCTCTAGGGACACTAACTTCTGCTTTTAAAGTAGTGAAGAATGGGTCTGCTATCGCACAAGAGTGCAGCAGGACGTGCTAATATAATGAGTTTTGAGCTTCTCTGATTAAAAGGCGGCCTTGCTGTTGGAAACTCAGACCTGCCTGAGAAAGGGAGCATGCATACAATACACCGAAACGTGGCACGCAAACACAGCAGTAAACAAGGCAATCCCTTGCACCAGAAAGAAGACTTCTGCTTGGTGGTGTACCACAGGGAAAGTGACTTCTCATTAAGCCAAACCGAGAGCGTCAATTGGACAATGTTTCCAAAGCAGCTTTGAAGAGCTGGTCCAAGGCAAACTTTGCTCCTTAAGCTCCATCCGCAAACTTCCGGAGCAGGCACAAAGAGGAAGCACATTCGCCTCTAAAAAGCAGGGGGGTGGGTTGTAGGTTGGATAGCTGAAAAAATGATTTCCCTAGGAGGGTGGGGAAGCACTGGGATGGGTTCCCTAGGGAGGAGGTGGAATCTCCATCCCTAGAGGTTTTGAAGTCCCAGCTTGACAAAGCCCTGGCTGGGATGTTTTAGTTGGGCTTGGCCCTGCTTTGTTCTAGTGTCCTATGATTCTAAGTCGGTGTTCTATGATTCTAAGTCGGTATTCTATGATTCTAAGTCGGTGTTCTAAGATTCTAAGGCGTGATGACTCCTGAGGTCTCCAACCAACCCTAGGATTCTAGGATCCTAAGAACCAGGCTACTTAAGATGCCTTTCTGTCCCATTGCCCCTTGGAGTCAAATCTTTCTGCACACCTTTTAGTTAGGACCATTCTCCCCATTTTATAGATGGGGAAACTGAGGCACCACTGTAACTATGGTCAAGTCACTTGGCAGGAAATGCATGGCAGAATTAAGAATAAGACCTAGCTCTCTTGACTCGGAGCACTGCATTTCACTGCAAACCCCTGTCTTACTTTTATGGATCGCATCAGAGGCTGTTATCAAGACCGTAGTAGGATGGGAAGGAAAAGGGGCCTATTTTGCCCTGTACGACTGTTCCCTGCTGTGTGTATTCACACCCATGCCTTATATGGACGGGCTTTCTGCAGAAGTGGACAGTGAATGATGGTGCATGTGCTGAAAAGAGCCAGGGAATTCCCGGGGAGAAGGGAGGAAGCCAAGCTGGTAAAACAATCATTCTCCACAAAGGCTCCCCCAGCCTGGATCCTTCTCTACTCTCTCCTTTATGCAGTAGCATCCTCGGAGTGATGGATCGATCAGCCCTAAATCTCCTGCATTAGTAAGTACTAGGAGCCTTGCAATTGTCCAGCCGGGGAAGAAAGCCAGTCAATCGGAGCGGCCGGGCGATCAGAAACTGGAGTTTTCGTTCCTCCTCTCCAGCACGCCTTGAAGCAGGCTGGGACAGTACGGGCTTTGTTCAGCAGCACTCATGTGGCCAGCTGGCTGTCTGGTAAAGGATTTTATAATTCAGGATTGATTAGAAAGGTGGAAGGGCTTTTGGGCAGCGGGCTCTGGTGGGTTATTTCCAGCTGGAGGTGGGTGGGTCGGGGGCGAGGCGGTGTGGTTAAAAAACCCCATCTCCGATTGCTGGTGACTGTGACAAGCTCATGGGCTGCCGGGTGGAATATACAGTGCCAATGTATCACACAGCTCATTGCACACCGAGCACACTCTGTGCATTGTGTAGCAAAGGCCTTGCGCCCGGTGCTTTGATCTGGTGCGTGTGCTGTTCTTACGAAGCCAGGCCAGAGCAGAAACAGCTGAGGAACTCACATGAGGCCCAGAGTCAAGCCAGTAAAAGAGCGGGGGGCCACAGCTATACCTGGGGGACATTAGAGGTGACGAGCCAGGAGGGTGTCGCTACGTGAAACTCGCTCTGTGACTTTCACGTCTATTTGACACGTCTCGAACAGACCTCTAACAGGAAGGCACACATTGTGCTCGGGAGACAGGGTGTTGGTTGG